ACAGGCACCTGCCACAGCGCCCGGCTATTTTTTGGTTGCAGCCATCATTGTTGTTTGGCGGGTCTGGGCTGGGGATTCGAACCCGCCATCTTAGGTGTACGTGGCTGGTGCCTTAGCCGGTTGAGCTATAGGCGCCGAGCCTAAATAAAAATTTCTTAACTGAGAAAAACTTCATTTGAAATTGTGAGCTTTGGGTGGTGCCTGTGGCTCAAAAGAGTAGACCGCCGGCTCCATATGCTGGAGGTGGTGGGTTCAAACCCAGCCTTGGCCAAAAGCTGCAAAAAAAAAAGAAAGAAATTGTGAGCTTTGTTTTTATTTTTTATTTTTGAAGTTTTTGGCCGGGGCTGGGTTTGAACCCACCACCTCTAGTATATGGGGCTGGTGCCCTACTCCTCTGAGCCACAGATGCTGCCCAAATTGTGAGCTTTGAAAGTTTTCTTTTTCTAAAATTTTTATTTATGTATGTATGTATTTATTTTCGCCCTGGGTAGAGTGCCATGGTGTCACACCTCACAGCAACCTCCAACTCTTGGGCTTGAGCAATTCTCTTGCCTCACCCTCCCAAGTACCTGGGACTACAGTTGCCTGCTACAACACCGGGCTGTTTTTTTGTTGCAGTTGTCATTGTTGTTTTAACTGGCCCAGGCTGGGTTTGAACCCACCAGCCTCGGTGTAAATGGCTGACGCCCTACCCACTGAGCTATGGACACCGTGCAAAAGTTTTCTTTTTCTGATAGAAGTTGTCATCTCAGTTTAGGTGACATGTTCCTTCTATAACCATGTATGCATAAATAGAATTTATAGAAATTTGAGTTTGTAACAATTTAAGTAGGAAACAGAGGAGAGTAACAAAAACAAAAAGGGTAATGAAGTTTGGGTCAGCAGTCTTGTTATAAATGCCTAACAGAAGTAGAGATTAGGATTTAGAAAGATGAAAGATACAGTAGGATAAAATCATGATTTCAAACCAAAATATGAAAATACTATCTGGCAGAAAGTAGTCAGCCCCCCCCCCTTCTCCCATGGGGGACAGGATAACAAACGAGGCCTTGGGTATTTGAAAGCTGAGATTATATTAAAAGAATTTGAAACATTTTAACAATATTCAGAAAACGATGATGTTGACAATCTGTTGTTTTTTTTCCCTTTCAGCCAAAACCAGAAAATGATGTTAGAGCAGGAACGTCTAAGAGTAGAACATGAGAAGTTGAAAGCTACGGATCAGGAAAAGAGTAGAAAACTGCATGAACTCACGTGAGTAATTGTTTTGATGACAGTTTAAAAATAAAGACTACATTAGAGGTTTATGGACATTATTGGCCTTGGACATACCCAGGGGGTACATTTTTAACTTTGTATGGGTTAAAGGGTATTTTTCTTAAATCCTCTGAGTTAGTTTGATTTATATTTAAAAACTTGTAATATATGTTTATGCAGAGTGTCCATAAAGTTTCTGTGTGATTTGCTATGTTAAACTATTTTTAAATTGCACATGAACTTTATGGACACCTTGTATTTTAGTGAAAGCAAGGTCTTATATTTCATTGATGGTCAAGATTTAAATTCCTGTTCTATCAGCCTACTTGATGTTTTTGTATTACCATAATTACTTCAGGATCCATCATAAAAATCATACTGAAACATGAAGTAATTTAGAAGATTTTAGGATCTATCACAAAACTTGAGTTTTTGTCAGATTCTATCTAGGATAAAAGTGCATTATTGATTTAACCTGGCCTTGGTGAACAGAGGTATTCACTGTTTACTTGTTTTCATTTACTGAGTCAGTACTTGGTTTTCTAGAATCTGAACAGGTAGAACACTCATGATTATAATTTTTCATATACCTTGAATTTGTGAGACAGTTTGCCAATGAACTTCTGGAATAGTTAGACCATCAGGACCAGTTCTGAGTTGATGTTGTAAAGATTCTGCTGAATTGCAGTCATAATTTTGTATGGAGTAATTTTAATGTAAAACATTTTCATCTTTGACAATTTACAATCTCTATAATTCCCAGTTAATCAGTATCATTTTGGATAAATAGCAACATATATGTGGCATATTTTAAAATATAAGAATCATTTCTTAATATTTGAATTATGCCACTTTTTTTTCATCTCTTCCTGGTTATGAAGAAGGAGTTTTTTGATAATAACCTATAAATATAGAAGATTATAAAACAAACACTAAAAGGCAACACAGGTAAGCTATTTAAAAATAAGCATCTTTCATTTATTTAAGAATTAATCTTTTAAGTTAAAAAATATTTTATTCAACTGTTATACTAAGTAACATGAGAATTTTATGGAATCAGAGTTGGAAATATATATGTGTATATTCTTCCATTGTTAGGGTTATGCAAGATAGACGAGAACAAGCAAGACAAGACTTGAAGGGTTTGGAAGAGACAGTGGTAAGAAAAGCATGAAAATAAATAGGGTGGGGGTAGTATTTTGTGGGTTTCTTCCACTATGCTCTTGAAAAGTCTGAATTCCAAAAATACTGCTGTTCTTAATTCAAGGCAAAAGAACTTCAGACTTTACACAACTTGCGCAAGCTCTTTGTTCAGGACCTGGCTACCAGAGTTAAAAAGGTAATATAACTGTACTGAGATGGGTATTTGCATAAACGGTATCTACTGTGTATAATTCTTTGTTTTGTAAGTGAAACAGTTTTCCATTTTCATGTCAATTTTTGTATAGTGAAGCTTAGATCTTTTTGATCTTTAAATTCTTTTCTTAGTATTCAAACACCTTCTTTTCTCAGAGTGCGGAGATTGATTCTGATGATACTGGAGGCAGTGCTGCCCAGAAGCAAAAAATCTCCTTTCTTGAAAATAATCTTGAACAACTCACTAAAGTGCACAAACAGGTAATGAAGAGTATATTTTGTACTAGCTACAACATTGTAATAATCAAAAATTGAGGAGTAGTATTTTATCTTAAGGAATCCTAAGGAATCTTAATACCCTGAGCTATTTCATTATTAAGCAATTATAATAAAAAAAATACTGCTAGTAACTTTTAGAGGAGTTAATATTTTTAAAAACTTTCTTATAAAAAAGGGGGTCAATAAAAACATGTATTATCTTTTCTTCAGGATTTTAAGACTTGATTTTTTTGGTTTATTCATGGTCATTTTAAATCTCAGACAAGTCTTTGCAGCTAAAACACTGTTTGGGGGAGGTCTTTTTTTTTTTTTTGCAGTTTTTGGCCAGGGCTGGATTTGAACCCGTCACCTCCAGCATGTGGGGCCAGTGCCCTACCCTTTTGAGCCATAGGCACCGCCCAAATGTAGAAGAGGTCTTTTTACACTTAATGCTCCAGTGTATGAAATAAATGATGAGACAGTTCTTCTTTTTTTGATTTCTTAATTTTTATTTTTTTGAGGCAGAGTCTTATTCTGTCACCCTGGGTAGAATGCTGTGGTGTCATCATAACTCATAGTAACCTCACACTCTTGGACTCAAGCCATCCTCTGCCTCAGCCTCCTGAGTAGCTGGGACTACAGGCATCTGCCATGATGCTTGCTAGTGCTTTTTTTCCTTCTGTTTTCTGTAGAGACAGGGTGTTCCTCTTGTTCAGGCTGGTCTTGAACTCCTAGCTCAAGCATCTGCCTCAGCCTCCCCGAGTGCTAGGATTACAGGCATGAGCCACTGTGCCCAGCCAACTTATGACTTTTTGGTTATTGTTTATTATGGCTTATAAATAATTTAGATATGTTTTTAAAATTTCTTAAAGCTGCAGTGGGAGTGGGTGCAGTGCACTGCTACCACCAAGCTATTGTACATGATGTTTGGACACTAACTAGTTGGCATCTGAAAGAAGTTTGTGTTGTACCAGTACATGCCTTGGAAAGATTAAAGTAATGCAAAACATTGTCCTTTTTTTTTTTTTAAATCTACTGATAAGTTGCTCTAGTAACCCAGAGAAGTAAAGGAAAAAGCAATTGCCTGACCCATTGTATTCATCATACAATAAAACCATAAAAAACTTCCCAGTAGTTTCAAAACAAAATGAATTTTCTTAACACACTTGATTGTTGTGTGTCCTTGTTACTGTGTACACCTGATGTTTGCACTAGAGTAAAGTTAGAGACATTTTAGCTCTCCTCCTGCACTTGCTAAGTTTCTTTGCTTGTGTGCTTAGTATATAAAGGGATATTCATTTCCTAGATAAGTTATCTTACCAAAGAAGCCTTGCACTATGTTGTGATTTATTGTCTTTGCCTTGCAGGGGAGAGAACAATCCTCCCTGATGAAATTAAATTATGTCTTTGTGAGAAATAATGTGTATGTATGAGTGTATGTATTCCCAGTATGTTGCTGCCTAAATTAAATTAGCTATATAAAAAACTTATAATTCTTTGTGAAAGAGCAATTATGAATGCTTATACTTTCTCAAATCCTCTTGTTAAAGCTAGAATCTCTGTTTTCTTTGTTTGCCGTTAGTTGGTACGTGATAATGCAGATCTTCGCTGTGAGCTTCCTAAATTGGAAAAGCGACTTAGAGCTACAGCTGAGAGGGTGAAAGCTTTGGAGTCTGCACTGAAAGAAGCCAAAGAAAACGCATCTCGTGATCGTAAACGCTACCAGCAGGAAGTTGATCGCATAAAGGAAGCAGTCCGGTCAAAGAATATGGCCCGAAGAGGGCATTCTGCACAGATTGGTTAGTAGAACACATTAAACCTGTAAACCTTGCTCACTTTGAAGGCTTTCATTTAGTTGAAAACATTATCTGAATTCTACAATGTGCTGTCATGATGTGTCTTTATGTATTTTCTAACTTACCAAAGAGTAGCACTGTTGGGAAAGAAGTGAGAAATTGAGAAATAACCCCATTAACAGGACAAGAAGACAAATGAGAACTAGAGAAGTAAAAATGCTCAGGGATAGAAGAAACGATAGAGCAATATTTTTAAAGCAAAGAGAAAATGCAAGAAAGTTAGGCATCAGCAATTATTTCATGTTTCAGAATAATCATTGGTGTAACATGGAAGATATTCTAAGGGGCTAAGGATTGTGTAGGTCCTAGAGAAAAGGTTACGTACATATAACTGAAAAGAAGATCGAGAAACAAAAAGGCAAAGAAACAACATTTGAGAATTTGACCTGAATAAAGAGAAGAGACCTAGACAGTCACTGCAGTCATGTGTTAACCTTTATTCTAAAGCCAGTCTTTGTTTTTTAATACTAGCTAAACCTATTCGTCCTGGACAACATCCAGCAGCTTCTCCAACTCATCCAAGTGCAATTCGTGGAGGAGGTGCGTTTGTTCAGAACAGCCAGCCAGTGGCAGTACGAGGTGGAGGAGGCAAACAGGCGTAAACATTTACATATACCCACAGGTTTGTGGTTTGTATCTGGCTTTTCATAGCTATTTGTGGAAAAGTTGAGCCATTGATTGTTAAAGTCTCATGTTGGTGTCATAACTTTTTTTATGTAAGAGATTATAAATGTAATGAAGGGCCGTGCACAGCAAGAAGCTCCTGTCTGGGCTCAGCACCTGTAGCTCAAGTGGCTAAGGCACCAGCCACATACACCAGAGTTGGCAAGTTTGAATCCATCCTGGGACTGTCAAACAACAATGACAACTACAACAAAAAAATAGCTGGGCATTGTGGCGGGCGCCTGTAGTCCCAGCTACTTGGGAGGCTGAGGCAAGAGAATCACTTAAGCCCAGGAGTTGGAGGTTACTGGAGCCCTGATGCCACAGCTCTACCCAGGGTGAGAGCTTGAGGCTCTGTCTCAAAAAAAAAAAAAGAAGAAGAAGAAGCAGCAGCTCCTGTCTGTAATCCTAGCACTCTGGGAGAATTGCTTGAGTTCAGGAGTTTGAGATCAGCCTGAGCAAGAGTGAGACACCCCCACCCCCATCCTACAAAATATGGAACAATTTGCTGGGCATTGGTAGCATACACCTGTACTCTGAGCTACTTGGGAGGCTGAAGCAAGAGGATTGCTCAGGCCCAAGAGTTTGAGGTTATAGTGAGCTATGATGACACTGAACTCTAGCAGGGATACAGAATGTGACTCTGCCTCAAAAACAAAAAAGGTAATTTAGCATGATTTTTTTCTAGTCCTTTTATAGTTTAAATCATATTATATATTCACATTTCTGTTACTGTTTCTAAACCTGACATACAGATCATTTGTAATAGCTCTTGGTGTTCTATCTAATGGATATACCATGGTTTATAACCATTCCTTTTTAATAGACACTTAATTGCATTATTTTTTCCCCCATATTTGAGATTTCCATATATGAAATTTGAAATGTGAAACATCTTACTATATTTCCTCATCTCTTTTGATTATTTCCAGAAGATTCCCAGAAGTAGAATTATAAGGTGAGGATATATTAATACATTGCTTTCTAGAAAGACTTCATCAAATTGCATATTAGCCAAAGACACTATTTTATTGCCAGCACTTAATCAGTTTTAAGCTTCTAATTTGATGGGCCAAAAATAGCATCTTATTGATTATTGAAATTGGCCCATTATTTATTGGCCCATTTATTATTTCTCTTTTTAATGAATTATCTGTGTCCTACTTCCTTTTACTTATTATGAGTGATTTTTCTAATGAATTTCTGAGTTTTATTCATTTATTTTTAATTATACAAGTAATACCTTCTTCCTTGTAAGGGGATAAAAAAGTATCATCAGTTTGCCAGGCACAGTGGTTTACACCTGCAGTCTCAACACTTTGGGAGGCCAAGATAAGAGGATCACTTGAGCCCAGGAGTTTGAGACAGCCTCAACAATATAGTAAGATCCTGTCTCAACAAAAAAAATTAAAATTAGCCAGGCATGATGGTTACACCTACAGTCCCAGCTTCAAGGGAGGCTGAGAGGGCAGATTCATTTGAGTTCAAGGTTATGGAGAGCCATGATTGAGACATTATACTCTGGCTGGGATAACAAAGGAAGACCCTACCCTTAGATAGATAGACAGATAGATAGATAGATAAATAGATGGACAGACTAACAGCAATATATTCTGAACATTTTCTTATATAACATGATTGGTTGGTTAATAGTTACCTAATGTGGCTTCGTGCCTGTAACTCAAGCAGCTAAGGCGCCAGCCACATACACCAGAGCTTGTGGGTTCGAATCCAGCCCAGGTCTGCCAAACAACGACAGCTACAACCAAAAAATAGCCAGGCATTGTGGCAGGCGCCTGTAGTCCCAGCTACTTTGGAGGCTGAGGCAGGAGAATTGCTTAAGCCCAGGAGTTGGAGGTTGTTGTAGCTGTGATGCCATGGCACTCTACCCAGGGCGGCAGCTTAAGGCTCTGTCTCCCAAAAAATAAATAAATAAATAAATAATAAATATGTGTGTGCGTGTATATAGTTACCTAATGTGTCATCATATGGCAGGAACTCAAATTTTAATTGTTCAGGAAGTCCCAAATATGTAGGTGTTTTTGGATATGAAAAATACAAGATAAGCAGTTTATTTTAATCTTCCTTATTTTTACTTTGACATTTTGCATAAAACTGCCTCTAAATCTGAGTAGAGAATTAAATGATATCTGGGAGGATTCCCATTTCTAACAATTTAATATTTTGGTTTGGACAGTATAGGATTTAAAAGAATAAGCATGGGCATAGTGAAAAGAGCATGGACTTTGGAATTCTATATAAGTTTGAATCCCAACTTTCCTGCTTTT